ACATTCAGTACTTTAGCAATATGCACACAGATCTCTCTGAATTCAACAGAAGATAAAACTAAGTTCCTCACAGGACTGCACTCCATAAAACAATTCATCAACACCGCCGTGACTCAAGGTGGGTGTGAGAGATCTACCTTACAGATGCTCTGCTGAATTTCCCTCTGGCACGCTTAGACAACAACAGTTTCTCCTAACAGTTGTGGTTCCCTCTGGCACGCTTAGACAACAACAAACAGTTTCTCCTAACAGTTGTGTGGGATGGAACACTGCCAGGTTGCTGCTTGAAGGCTTTTTCAAGCTAATACATAGATTTCAAAAAAGAAATACAGCTGGGAATTGAAAAGCAGAAGCAAAAGGGCAGGGACTTTGGGACATTCCTGGATTTAATGGGAAAAAGTCCTTTCCACTTCCTGGAAGCACATTTCTCCTCTTACTGGAGTAAATTCAGAGGGGAGGACAAAAAAAACCTACAAAAACCAAACCACAAACCGATCCTTTGCCAGCACGCACAATCGGGGTTGTGCAGAACCTTTCAGTTCTACAGTGGTGAGCATTACAAGGCATGCTACCGCTCTGCAGCCTTAAGGCACTTCTACCTCTGCTGCTTCAGGGTATGACAGAAGATAGTTGAATCAGTCACTAGTCACTTTTCTTTCAAGCAGAATCCTAATGTTTCTTCAAGGAATTGAGGCACTGCATTAGCTGTATGGTAAAATGAGATGCTTTCAGAACACCTCCTTCCAGAAGAACCACTCCACTGAGCTGATTGCGAGGACTCGCAGAGCGTACTCATCTTGAAGCAAGACACAGCTTTGCATGACATCTTGTGGCAGCGTGACAAGCTGACAGGGGTTTAGTTTTCATAAGAAGTAATTTAAGATGTTGCAAAACAGTGATATTACAGAAAACCAAACACACAACAAAAAACACCAATTTATAATCAAATCAAGCTGAACAGACTGGCAATACTTTTTTAAGTCAGAAAAATTCCCCATAAAAATATTTAAGGACAGAAAGTATAAAATAGTAAGACCATTATTTTAAAGTAATAAAGTAAAGCCAGAAAACTGAAACAAGTTGAATTTGAAGCAATTCAAACTGCAGGTGAACTAAAGCTCTAAAGTACATATTATTAATACTTAATACATTCTTACCTATTCTAACTAGAAAATAAGAATCTCCTTTTCAAACTGTGGCTTGCAGGGAGAGATTGGTCCAGAAGGGAAAAACTTCATTGTCCAGAAACTTAATTACAAGCTGACTCAATTAGGCTAATTTATGCTGATATTTATGTTGCATGTAACTGGAGAAATATCAAAATAGCAAATTTTATTTCCCATTTGTTTTCAAATTGTGTTCTGAGAAAAAATGTCTTTTAATTCTACATGAAAACACAAATTGTGGTTCAATACTGTTCTAATTGGAAAAACAACATCAGTCTTAGAGGAATCAGTAAATGGACCACCTTAAAAAGGAAATCAGAGATAGCTCTAATTAAATAAAATTAAAACCAACAAAATTACTTAAGATAAAGTCTTATTTCCAAAAACATACTCATCCTCAAGGCACTCAAGAAAGATGTTTTCCCAGTCATTACCTGAGTAATGCCTAATTCACACTATTTTTTGATGGAAGGTATTAGTTTCTCGCCATGCAACTTGGCATCTGAAATTCCTGACTCAGCCCCTCATGCGCTTCTGGAACACCAGTAGATTTTCCTGTCAGGGCAGAAGCAACTGGCTTTGTCTAGACTTTGTTGGAGGATAACAGAACAAAATACAAGCAGGCTTCACGTAGTCAGAGATGAGCACTGGAGAACAAAGAGAAAGCTTCTGGAAGGAACTTTCAACAAAAACTGCTGCTCTTACTGAACAATCAAGAAAGGGTTTTCAATAGCAAATATCTGCTGTAGCACCTTCAAAGCAATAAATTCCTACACCAGGAATAACTCATATTTGGCCTTCAAATGTGAAAAAAAAAAATTTAAAAATCTACATTTCATTCAGGTCATGCACTCTTAGATTACTGCTTCTGCCAAATTTAGGCACAGCACAAAGCTGTCGTGAACAACCAAGAACCTCCATTCTACAGAGGGATTCATGTGAAAAGCCATTCCATGCAGTCCTGCTGCCATTGAGAAGCACCCTCCGGAAATCCAGGCGAAGGTGCTCCTAGGAAGGAAAGGAAAGAGGAAAGTTTTAAACGTAGTCTTTACTCAACTGTTCTCAAGCTGTAAAATGGTACAGCAGTGCCATCAGACTAGTGGAAGATTTAAGCAGAGATGCCTGCAGCTGCTTTGGAAGGTATTAATACGAAGCAAATAACATCAGCCCTGCATGGAGAGGATTCATTCCACTACATCCCTGCTTTGTTCTTAAGATATTTAAGATTATTTTGTAAAAACGGTTTAAAAGATCTGATCTATATCCTGCAAGTACTGCACATCTTTCCAAACCACATGTGAGAAGTGTAAGCATCTAAGAGTCAAGCCCTCCTGCAATATCACAGGTGTGCTTTTGGCAAAATCTGAAGAGGTTGCTGGGGGAAGGGAAAGAAGAGTCACCACGGACACAGCATTATCACAATATCCAGTATAAAAGACATTAAGCTGTTGCTAAACAAGAGAAACAGCAATGAGCTACAAACCCACAAATCCTGACCTCTAGTTGCCTCCACTCTGAAAAATGGTCTAGAGATGAAAACTAGTTTTTTGCCGATTTTTACAACACAAAATAAAGCAAAATCTTGAGACAGTACAACAGGGAGCATGCTGCACAAACCAGCTTTCAGCAACCGTCTTCACCACGACGGAATATAAGAGCATACTAATTTTGCAGTCACTAGAGGGAGCCATCTGGCATTTTACTTGTGTTGCTCCTCAAGAGTTTGAAACTCAAATTTCATGGCTCTGCTGAAGGGAAAGATTATTTGTTTCAGATCTAAACATATTAACTAGTAAGTGTTGCAAAGAAGAGTTTGGCTACGTATTCATTTTAAAACAAAATCTTTCTATAGACATTGCACCTATGCAGCAAAAGACAGTGATTTTTGGCTGGTTTTGAGGGAAAACAAACTTATGACCTCCATTTCATTTGAGAATGACTGTCCTGCAGCACTTAAAATAAAAAATAATTTTAAACCCCATTTTTATATGGAAGTGCACCTTGAAAACTACTTGTTACACACCAAGGACTTTCACATCCACTCCAATATCAGTAAATAATTTAAATTCTGTTCTATATTCCAAAAAGTACCAGAAAGAAGATCATTAACCAAACATCTTTCAGCATCTAGTTAAAAACTGAACCAGAGTGCAAGTCCAGTCAAAGAGAAGGAATATTCATTCTCTCCATCTTAAAAGACGCTAGAAAAAAGGATGTGGACAAGAGTCTGAATATAGCTCCTTTCTCCCACTGATTCTGTTTAACAAAAAACAAACAAACTAACCAATCCATTTTCATGTTGTAGCTTTATTTGAAAGTGACTTCAGAGTTTTGGTAACACAATTTTTTATACAAAATTGATACAATGAAAAATAAACTTCAGAGGTTTCCTAGAGCAGATTACAGACTGTAAACTCATAATCAAATGAACTATATATAAAAATGTAACTTTGTTCAAAGTCTTGTTTGCAGACCAGCACCAAGTGATCCTGAAAAATCTAGTTTTACTTTATGTGCTCAAAACACCAAAGCCCACCCAAAACCTTGCTTCCTAAGTAAGCAAAGTCTCATTGCATTTGGTCTACCTCACTGTACTTCCAATTTGTGACAGACTGTACACCACAAAACCCCTGACATTTCCAACAGTATCTTCAGTGAGTAAAGATCAACTTTTACATACCTGGTATTTTAAAGGTTTTTAAGGAGTCATGGACAACAAGGTATTTGGACAAAACTTTATGAATTGCCATTTCCAAAGAACTCAGAAGTCCATTAAAAAAAATAATAATCCAAAGCCCTGCAGCGGTTCCTTTTAAACTGTTTAATTTCAGCAGGTCAATTTCAAAGATCTTAGGATCACCAATTATTTTTATTCCTATGTCTGCAGTACATCAAAATCTCATCACATAAACTAGCAGTATTAATGATCCAGGGGCGGGGGGGAAATATCTATTCAGTCCTGCAATTCTTTTACCATTCTTACCACATGCTCATTAGAAAGTAAGGCTCCTCTCAAAACTCAGCTTTATTTTTACCTTTGTCTGAAATCAGGTTTCCCAAACAGAAAATCTATTTTGAGAACAAATTTCTCATTATACACACAGTTCCTCAAACATGCCATTTTTGGGGGTAACTGTACAACTTGGCTTCATGCCACCCTTGTAGGCACAGGAAAGATACCGTTCCTCAAACATTACGGCTGTAGAGAGCTACCAGACAGGAACAAAATACTACTACTACTACTGTGAAAATAACTGCTACTGTAATCCTTACACTTACTGTTCTCTGTATCCCACAAAGCAGAATGGTTCTGAATCATGCAATGTCATGCAATCACATTATATTTTGTAGAAGGCTACAAGCATCTGTTTTCTGCTCTCTGCCAGGCATGTTTCTCGCTTTATGAATCTTAGGCTCATCAATCTGACTTGGTTTATTGTGGCCGCCCACGTAGGTGTGCTAGGAACAGCATCAGTGTAAAAGGATGCTAATCCAGTAACCCCAGAAAATCTGCAACTTTAAGTGTTCCCTAGAAATTGGAAAATTTCCCTAGGATTTCCACTTCTTTTTCAGGCTCTTTGCATTTTTCTTTCATCTCTGAAACATACACTAATCCTCCTTTATCACCGTTCTCCACCCTGTGATACCAATGTAAACAAAACCCAGTGATAGAATAATCAAGTTCTGCCAGTGAAAAAAAAGCACTATACTGTTAAATTTTTGTTACTTTTAGTAAAGTTATAGCAGCATTTAGAGACCAAAGTCCCACCCATACCATTGCTTAAAACCTTGCTCCTAGGTGCTCTGTATTAATGTACTCTGCAATACTTTGGATCTGGGTATTAAAACGGAAAAGACGTTGAACATACTATGTGCCCACAGGAACATGGATAGTAGATTCTGTGAATTTCTAGCTACGTAAATATGTGTGCAACAGACCTACTTTGTGCCTCATGACATTTACAATGCAGATTTAGTTCTCCTGTGAGGCTGATGAGTCATTCACTATTCACTGGCATTGAACAGTTTTGCCATAGCCACCTCTTCCAGCATCATAGTCTTGCCGATACTCATCTCGGACCTTATAAAGGAGGAAAAAAGGGAAGCCCAGTAAAGACAAAGAAACACAATTTCTCACAAACTATTACACCATCAGAATACAGTCAAACTGAGTTTACAACATGTAAGTGGCCACAAGGAGCTGACTGACAAAACAGAAGGCAAAATGCATCACGCAGAAGCCCAGAATACAGTATAAACTAACTTATTTTTTAATAATATCCAAGGGGACTCTTCAAACGAGACAGACAAAGTGAGGATGGCTAGCCTCGTGCTTCAGCACTAAAAGCATCTGCTACCTGCTCAACTTGAGGTAAGCTAAATGCTGTCCTTTGTGTTCTTGACAGCCTTATATTTTCTGGCTTATTTATAAGCATTATCTCCCCAAGAAGCTGTTTCTGTAAGTACTTTCAGTGAAATATATGAAAAAGTTACTTATTCTTAGCAGATGACATCATCGATAAGATGTTTTACAGACTAATGTACAGTGCTATCTTAAACAGGAACTCTTAAGCTGCTATTTCTGATGATGTTCTGAGTGTGTTCATTCAAAAAGCTATTAATTTAGCAAAATCACCAGTCCCTTAAAAACTAGGCTGTACAACAACCTACCTGGCCCCCTGATCTTCCACGACCATACTGTCTACCCTCCTTAAATCCTGCATCCCAGTCTGTCCTTATGATCCTATCATCAAGTCTGGTTCCATTGATGTATCGCATTGCATTTTCAGCATCTCCTCGTGCATAATACCTTAGAAACAGGTTAATGAATAAAACCTAGGTTTCTATTTCAACATGTGGGAAAAGGAACAATAACAAATGGGGTACAAAACCAAGTATTTGCTTGAATCGGGTTCCTGTTCAGTTATTTCTACAAGCAACTGCTTTTATGAAGCTATGTGGGCTGAGAAAACTGCTAGTGAAGCAGAGCAACATGCAAGAATTCAAGCATATTAGAAATAGATCACGTTCTTTAACCATGCTCACCCTTAGAAGCATAAAGCTCTATTATTAAAGAAAGAATGAGAAGCCCCATGCATGCTCTGTTCATGCTGCAAATGTTCACCATTTCGGTGTGTTTGCTAGAAGCAGTAACAATGATCTTCAAAGGCACTTCTGTGTAATGAGGTCAACACAACAGGGATGCAAGATACCAACAGAAACTTTATGTGTATGCTTGTACGAAAAGAAAAACCTCTTTACTCGGCCACTGAGAACACGCTTTTACTGCAAAGAGCAAGTGTCTAAAGAGTGTCTTGGCTTAAAGTATCAGAACGAAAGCAACACAGCAACCCCTACTCGATGTGCAGTGTATGTTTGCCTTCTCTCGCCCAGGACTCCCACAGACGCTTTAGCACCCGAGTAATTTTACCCTCGGATAACTTTCCCGTGACTCAGAGCCTGCATTTCAGTTCACCCACGCCCTGAGCGCTCCTGCCACCGCGGCGGCGGCGGCCTGCGGGCAGCACACCC